CATCCCCTAGTCCATGCTGTCTTAGCCTGAGGCTGAAATACTCTAGACCTGGAAACTCTGCATTTTGTAGTGAGCAATTCTTTAAAGACTGGTAGAGTGTTGCCGGTATAATAAGGAAAGGGTTGGAAGGAATTTTATGGTTATAGGTAGGCTGGCTGAGCCTTAATGAAAAACTATGCTGATGCAGTTTAGCTTTGTACTGAGACACATCAAGCTTTTTATAGTTGTTTTCTGACTATTTTTACCAAAATGAATTATAGTAAAATATTGTCTCTTTTCAGAGAAATGATGGACTTAAGACTGAGTTGCAGATTATGTGTCTATGAGAATAAGGGTCACAAGCTGTGGAGAGTTAAGCTGAGGTCTCATTGTCATGAAGTTTCTGTTACTTGTTCTAGACTCAAGTGTGTTTTAGAGGATTAAAGTACTAGTTACAGACTTTCAAGAAAACAAAATACACTGTCAACTGAATCAAAATTATACAAGCAAATGCTCACTGGGGTAAAATGTTGTTGGAAAATACTTGGAGAAAAGGCAGAGTCAAATCCAACACAATGATTGAATTACACAGGATAGAAGGAACTGCAGAGGGAAAACTAGACATTTGCAATTTTATAATCTTTAGTATTTGGGGTTATAGCTTTTAAATGTAAGCAACATTATTTACATAAAATAAATAAGATATTGCAGATACCATTAAAGTATCATGGATTAAAACAAAAACACCCCAAAACACTGGGTTCTGGATGTGGGAAGGATTTGAGTCACTGAGTCACAGTGCTGAATCCATGTTACTCATCCCACTTGCAGTTTTGTTACAAAATTGAGAAAAAGGGCAAAACTGAGAAAAAGGTTTCCCCAATTTCCATGAAGCGCTAAGTGGATCATTAAAAACAAAACCAAAATTGTAAGGACATGGGAAGACTGTATATACAGCTGATTTTACCCCTCAGAAAGCTATTAACAATACGGAGGTAGCACTTCCACTGTCTTCTGAACTTCATGGAGTTTAAAATCTAGAATGTCTGCAGATTATACCGATGTTTTATACTGTGCTTTAAATACAAAGTAGTATATTACTAGTATACTACTAGTAATAGTATAGTAGTATACTGTAGTATATTATTATTATTATGTCTACTGTTGTAATAGATTTTAAATCATAGATTTAAATTTACTTAATATTTAATTTGTATAAACAATTGGAAATTTCCTATAAGTGGAAATTAATCATACATTATAATTTTTATTCTATAAGTAGTCTAAATGATAGGAGACCAATCTTACCCACTAAATAGGGAGAAAAAAATTACAGGTCTGTGTGTGCCAGATTCTGCCTTGGATCCATGTGGGTGGTTTAATCAACATGGCCCACATGTCTCTGAGACAGAATTTGGACTTATTAGACTGTCCTTTCACTGCCTTTCATGCTATACCATCAAATCTGACAGTAGTTTTTCCTGGAAATTGACAGATTCATGTTGTTTGGGTTTGAATTCACTCACCAGATAAGGTCTTACAAAGGTGGAGGGGCATTCCCACCAGCAGCCTGTCTTGCAGCTCTTCCACGGTACTGAAAACTAGAGCTTTACTGTTGTCCAGCTTCATGGAGGGATCCCTCCCTCCATGTCCCAGCCGTATGGACTGCATCTGGGAGGGAACATACCCGATGTGCTATTTCACTGGGAGAAATTTGGGCAAATAGAATTATAGGCAGAATAACAGCAATGACATCACTATGTAACTCCATGAAGTTTTGTTTTGTGTGTTCTGACTGGTTTATTTCTGTTACGAAAAGATACCATGGCAAGCTCTGGCCCACACAGATGTCAATTAGCCATGCCTAAAGATGTCAATTAACAATTAAGATACAATTTCTTCTGTGTTGCTCAGAAAAGTTCATTTGCAGTCAGTGGCAAGTCATCTCCTGGCTTCCCTAGCCCTTACATCTGGCTGAGGGAGAGTTAGTTGTAGCATCTCCATTTAATTACTGAGATCCAACTGTGATAATCTCTCAAGCAAGAGACTTTCATGGTCTGCCTAGAGCTTTACAGGACAGCTCAACTTTTTGTGTTGGGAGCCAAAAAAACCCACAGCCCCAAGCAGAGGAGTTCCTCAAGCCCATCTATAGCATGTTGAGATAATGAGCTACAGGCTGCACCAGAGCTTCCAGACAGAGCTCCTTTAAGCTATAGGCACAGGGTGGTTTTCCATTCTGTTCCTGATTCTGTGGAACTTTTAAAGGCTTTTTACATTTTACATTTTTATGTGTATCTGTTTTATTACTTATTTTATATCCTAGCTCTAATTGAAGACATAGGACTTGACAGGATTCAGAGCTGCAAAAACCAGCCTGAAAGCAATAAAACCAATATTTTTATTTCACTGATTAACACTGCATTGTTTCACTTCTATACCAACTTTGCAGTTACCTCACATGGTGTACATATATGTGTTAAATCCAAGTCTCTGCCCCTGAGAGGTTCTGCTGTAAAGGCGACACGTGAGCAGTTCAGTGAGAAAGGAGGGGTTTGCTATCAAGCCCTGCTTCTGCAAAGAGGCCATGAACCTTCATTCTGTAGAAAGGGCATTGAGATTTTGACAGCCTATCTTTGGGACACAAAGGGAGGGAGTGTTCTTCTATTCCTAGCCCACAAATAATACCAGTTTCCTGTGAACCAGAAAAACATGTTTACTTTCTATTTTATTCAAATGTTCCTTGGGGAAAAAAAACACCACAACAGTACCATCACCACCACATGGTGTGTGATGGTACCACAATTATATTACAAACTATTTCATTAACTGGCTTTCTACTCAGAGCTAGGCTGAGGCTTGCAAAAACCCTGAACTTCACAAGTTATGGCCATTCCCACCTAGACATCGTTGGACTTTTTTCTCAATTTGGGATGGAAAAATAATTTTAGATTTAAACATATTTCTGAGAGAGTAAAGCACTTTACACTCAGGGAATTGTATTTAAAAGGGGAAATAAATGAAAGGACAGCGTGAAAATAATGATTGCTAGGATCAGGATGACAGAGGGACACCCTAATAATTATGTTGCATGCCCAGGCCAAAAAGCAGGAGTGTGACCTAAGTACATCCCTCTCGGAGAGGCAGGCCTTGGTCCATTTAATATGTCAGGTGGTTTAATTATTTTTTTTAGAATTCCCCAGGAATGATCCTTAAGAAATTATATATAACTGTTACTGACCTTTAAAGCTTCTTGATTATGATGTTCATAGATTGAATTGGTCTGGACTGCTTATTTTTGGGGGAGTGTCACAAATCTACTTGTCTTACTTCAATCCTAAAGTTATATTTAGGTCTCTGATCCACCAGAAAGGTGTACAAAATCACATGTAGCCAAGCCGTCACACCACTGAATAGGCTAAAGGCACGTCATTCTAGAGGATGACAGCACTACATTTTGTGCAAAATAGTCACTTCAGATATGCCTTTCTTATAGACATTTCATATAAATAACTCTTACCTGTTGCTAAATCCAGATGATCTTTGTCAGTTTGCTTTGCTATCTGGGGAGTTGCTCGCACAAATGAAGGAAACGTTAAGGGGCAGTGCTCCCTTCTCATGGGAAATAGTACATCCTCAGGTACTCAGTTAGTGATGGAGGGTACTGCCCAGGACAAAATTATAATTTAAACCAACATTCCAGTGATCTGGAATTAGTGCCTGAATGCTGAGGGGCAGGTGAATTTTTCTTCTAGTGTATCCTGTGTCTTACAATGCAGGGCATCACTTTTCACTCTATAAAAAGGTCTTTTCTGTGTAATGTGACTGTAAGAGCTTGTTAGTATTTGTATAGATGCAGGTATGAACCTATGTCTGCTTTCCTAAGCCTGGGTATTGGGCTCAGAGCCTCAGCATCTGCAGTCATGGCTATTCCAATGTATTCTTGCAGGCAGATGATATAGCATCTCTTACTAATGTTGTCTGAGAAGTCCCGTTAAAAGTCCTTTCTACTTCTTTATAATTTTGACAAACTTGACCCACTAAAGCTGAAAAAAAAAGATAGTTCTTTTTTATTTAAGCCAGAAAGGATTTTTTTCTTTCACCTCTAGTGCAAAAATACTGTTTTGTCTGTGTTACAAAAGTCTTGCAACTTTGTTTTTTTAATGCTCAAGAATCTAGATGTCCTGGAGTAGGGTTGTTCAGCTTTGTGGCAGGGATGTCCCTTTTGTCCTCTTTGGGTAAATCTGACTGAATTTAGGAAATTTATAATTCTTTGGGGGAAAAAATGCCCATTCTCAAGTACTCAATGCAGGCTTTACTGGAGTTTGAGCGCTAAAATTTCCAAGGACTCCCTTTTGCACGAACATAGTAAGGAAGCCCAATGGGGCTATCCACGTGCCAGCTGCAAAGAGTAAGTAGACGTTGCAGCTCATGGCTATGTGGACTCATGGACATTTCCACTGCAAAGCCCACAGAGAAGCTCAGCTGGTGGTGCATGCAAGAACAGGAGTCCCTTCCTTCTCCTATACCCCAGGCAGATGCGCCTGGGATCCAGGAGGCCCTGTGAAGGAAGCCACTTGACCTGAATGTGGAGGAAAGAAGAGGGAAGAGGAGGAAAGAAAAGAGAAGGGAATAAATCAGGGCAAGATGACATTGATGCAGGAGAGGGGAGAGAAATAGTAACTAGGAGGTAAAAGGAGAAGATGGAGGATGATTAAGTAAGGACGAGTTGGAAGTCAATGAGAAAAACATGGGGAGATGTTTGGCTGGGGTGGGGCCATAGGGGAAGAGGTCCTCTTGCCTGGTGCCTGGCTGGACAAGAAGCTGAAGGAAGTAAGGAGAGATGGGGTTCTTTTGGAGAAAGAAACTGCTGTTAGGAGACAGAGAGGGGAAAAAGGCAGAGAGAGAATCCTGGGGGGAAAAAACACAAAATCAAGATCCAGAAGGAGGGCTTAGACTGAGGTAGGGAGCCTGGGACAAGGAGCTGGGGCAGCCTGTCTGGGTAGGAAAGGCATCGAGAAAGCATGTGTGAAGCTGACATTTTGGTGAGGGTGGAGGAGAACAAGGAGACTGAGGGAGCAGGTGAGGAAAGAGACTGCAGAAAGAATAAAGAACAGCAGTTGGCAGATGGGTAGGCAACAAGACTGGAAGGAGATCCAGTTGCAGAGAACTCCACAAGGATGTAGGCAGAAAGCCTTTCAGTAGCTGGACAAGGATTCCCCTGAAAACTAGAAAGAAAATCCACCTGGCAGGCCAACCCTGAAGCAGAGGTGCTCTCAGGGTGCTCTCAGGGCCCTAACACCAGGAAAGGAAATTACAAGAGTCTCCCCAAACTCCAGCTGCTCCTGCAAACACTCATTCTCAGAGCTGCTGTGGTGAAGATCTGTGCACTGGCTCTGAGGGTGTCCATATGATGCTCCTTTAGGGAAGTGTGGTGTGGGAGGGAGGAGCCCTACAAAACCATGCAGAGATACATCCTTAAAAGTGTATTCTGTGGACTAAAAGCCAAGCTCTAAAACATAAAGAAATTCCAATTTCCAGTAGCATTTAAGGCTTTGTTCAGCCCTGTTGGTGTGATAAGGTATTACATCATGTGCTATTGAGACTACACTTGCCATTATCGTCTGTGACTGCCTCTGGGGAATTGCAAACCCAAGACCAAGCTAGTGTACAGCTTGCTCTGTGCTCTGCAAGGTGAGTTCATTTTACTGGCACAAGGATGGCTAAACTACATCCTGAAGTGGTCACAGGTATCAAGTTGTCCCATAATCCAGACTTCACATTAATTGGAGTCCTCCTAGGAGGTAGTACATTGAGATGCACAGTGGCAGACATGGGTGGAGCGTGTACATCTGCACCTGATCATGTCCATCTCCTGCAAGACGGGAAGGAAAAGCACGTTTGCCACATTTATATTCATATGTCTAGGAAAGGACTGTATGTATGCATGCAGCAGAGCTGGGGGTATGCACACGTATGTGCTTGAATACTCATCTACACAATTGTGTTGTAGAGGAGAAAAAAAAATCAAGGAAAAATTATTTGCACTTAAAATGCACAAAGTCTGTGATGATCCCTAGGCCCTGTGAGAGCTGTTCCACACCCTTTTGTTGTTCTTGGAAATACTATCTCCTGCACAAATAAGCTTTGTTACCACTGTAGAGAGTTTCATGTTTGTCCTAGAAATGAAAAGACCTTTTTAAGTCATTGAGTGTGTCAGGAAGAGAACCAAAACCTTGAACCTGCTTCTAGTCTTCTGTAGCAAGGTAACACGGTGAGCCGAGGGCAGGTCTGCTTATTAATATAGGCTTCCACTGTGTTTCTTCTGGAGCTGAATATTAACTATAATAATTTATGCTGGACATTTTCATTAGCTCTTTTCAGTATTACAGACAGAGAGGGTCTGCATGTGCATCTGTCATTGAAAATCAGGTTCCATGGAGCATATCTGATGTGCACCTCTACTCCTCTACATCCTTTTGGTCCCCCACTTTATTATTCACAGTAACATATCCCTGTGGCAAACACAGATAATGCTTACCAGGAAAAGTAATAAGAATAAAGTATTTAATGTATTTCTAGCCTTTAATGTGTTGTAGCTGTGAATACAAGGCAAAAAGCAACACCATATGACCATTCTACTTTGCAAATGGTCTATAAACTGCAGTGAAAATAGTTTCAAGACATTTACGCAGTGCCTAAGTCACGTGAATAGAAGTTTATCACAATCAGTAGGAATGCTGGATTTTCCTATCACACGTTTGCTGCTTAGGATGATTAGCAGGAAATTTAATTTGCACTAATTAGCCTTAGGGGAGCAAGAAATTAACTTGATGGGTAAATTTCATGTTTTACTATATATCATACTAACATGGAAAAATCTGAGTTAAAGCCTGAGTTGAGTCCTATGATGATACACTGGACTTCAATTTTTCTAAATTAAATTAAAAGACTGTAGAAAATTAATGCATGCATGGTGAGTAGGTGGGGGTTTTTTAGGAGCTCAACTCATAGAATAGTTGTTCAACGTATTCATTGAATTGTCAGCCTCTTCCAGAGTCTTTTTTTAAAATTAAATTATATTAATATCTAATACTACAGCAAAAGTTTTAACAAGTCCTAATTGCCTATATTTGTATATTTTTATTATATAGTGTGCATTAGAATTGCACATGCAATATTCCACATTGTAATGCACAGAGCAGAAACAGTTTTCACATAAATTCTGTGAAAACACGGTACTTTTTAATTTACAAACACCCACTTGCAAATACATTTTTAGGGTCAGGAGCCTTTGTTTGTATGCTAGAAAAATTCATATGAGAATAATTTTTTTAGAAATTACTCTCAAACTTATACAGCAAATGAGGGTGGCATGAGTCACCACGTGTCCTAATAGACAAATAAGAATTAGGAACTAATAAACTCTAATCTTGCCTGTTAATGGTGACTTTCCCATCTCATTCTTCCAAAACACATTTTAGTTTGCTTGGGTTTTCCCTCTGTAAAATGGAGGCAATTTTTATGTATCCATCACTCAGAATTACTGTGGATTGATTAATGTATGCAAAGCAATGAGTCATTCGGTATGGAAGTATCGGTCTATTATAAACTGAAGTGTTCTGTCATACCAGGCTTGTGGTTGCATCCAAATTTATCTGTAAAAAGGGAGATGGAAAACATCAGTTCATATGAGATAATTGCCTTTCATGTCAGTGCTTCTGCTAGTTTGTGCATCTGAAGTACACTCAGAGGCTCACTATTACTATTACATATTTGGAATTAGACCTTGTAGTATTTACCTGAAGCTGCTATTGAAGTGAGAGGTGTGACTTCAGTGCAAGTTTTGCCCGAGTAAATATTGCAGAATTGGGTACCCTGAGTACCTTGAGTCCATGGTTTGGGGTTTAAGTAGTGCATGTAAGCTAGTTCAGGCATCTGCTCAGACTTCCTAGCCTATGACATGAGTGCTTCTGGTCTAAAGAGAGATCTCAGATAGACCTGTGGGTAGTCATATATTGTGTAACATCTGTCATATTGCATTCTCAGGTCCTTCTTCAATCCCCAGGATGGATTTCTCAGGAGTAGCCCCTCCTAGTCAATTAAGAGTTTGTGTGCATGTGTGTATGTGTGGGTGGGTATATATGTGCCCACACACAGACAAACATATATGTGTACACAACCCCCCTATATAAATGTTCTTTGCCTTTTTGGGCATACAAGTATATTTCTGTAAATGCTCACCACTTGTGTTTACACATTTATAAGTAATATCCAAATTTCAGTCATAATTGACACCGTGTGGCTTTCTGTATAATAATTACTTTGGGATAAAAAACCTTGCAGATGGTTTCAAGAGTGACTCTAACTCACCATCAATGCAAAAAGATTAAATAAGATGAGCCTACTCCCTCTGAATGGAGTAAGCCATTTTCATTTATTTCAATGGGAGCAGGCACAACTTCGTTTCCACAGCAGACAGAAAACGTGTATTATATTCGTTAAATGAAAGTTTGATTTTATTGCACTTAAAATTATTCATGTTCTATTAGCAAAGGTTTTGAGATTTTATAACCTAAAGCATTTGCTGAATTCTGCTTTGTATTTTCCTCACAGCAATTGGAAGGACCCTCATTCCTCGGTATTTTAGCACTGTCTTTGAAGGAGGTGTAACAGACCTGTATTACATTCTCAAGCACTCAAAAGAGTCATACCACAACTCATCCATCACAGTGGACTGTGATCAATGCACCATGGTCACTCAGCATGGAAAACCCATGTTTACCAAGGTAACAGGGAAGACTCAATAAAGCATGTTGGTTTTTGTTTTTCTTTTTCAGTGTGTGTAAGGGTGAAAAATATTTTTCTGGTAAACTGAGATTATTTCTGATAGTGAAAACCCTTGAAGCTGTTTAATTACTATTTTCTATATTCATTATGTGACTGGAAAATTCTGTGGGCATCCTCTGCAATTTTCCCAGAAAGATTGCAAGAGAAGCACATAATGCCAGAACCGTCAGTTGTACAAGACTTAAATTCAACCTGCCCATCTCCTTTTCTATGGAATTGATTTTAAAGCAACAGTGAAATTTCACATTGCTGGTACCTACCATTTGGGATGGTATGCATTACGTTTGATACTTACCCGATCCAAGGACTATAAATCTCTAGGAAAATAGTGTTATTATATAGTAGAATGCCAGTCCAAAGGGCAGTGAAGTCAATGGAAAGAGTCAATTGATTTAAACATGCTCTGGATCGGGCACTTAGTGAATATTCAATATTTGTAACTGATAGTGAATTATCTTCATGCATTGGCCACTTATAGTCCTGTAATTAAACTGAATGCCATATATCTGTTAAAAAATATCAAAAAGGTGAAAAATACAAATTTAAACAAAAAAATTCTTATATTAAAAAAAACCCAGTAAAATTATTTTCAAAATGGAAATATCTCCTTTCATAAATTAACAGGAAATTATGATTTTCTATCTTGCACCTGTTCATCTGTATGAATTTTAACCATTGCATGGAGAAAAGCACAAAAGGAGAAG